TATTATTTTATGTTTACGCAATTTTTTGATTTTGAGGCTTACGCCTCAAATCGCCTTGAGGCTTACGCCTCGCCTCAAGAACGAAAAACGCCTCAATACCCGAATACGCAATTTTAAACCTAGGTACTAATACTGATCTGGATGCTTATGAAGTCAACAATAAGTTGCAGATTACACAAGAACACGGCTCATCTGATTCAAAGTTCGCTCCTAGCGATCCTGTTGGGCCAGCTGATGTTGAGGTAGATTTAATAACCAACAGTTCTGAAAAGATAGAAGTTGATGTTGTTGTATCTATACAGGAGCAATGTTCAAACTCTCCAGTTCAGAATGACCAACTCGATTCATATATTAAGGAGACAATGTCTATTGAGAAGGAAGAATAAAACAGTTTTTTAGTTAATTTTTGTATTGAAAAGCTGTTTTAGAAAGCAAGAAGAAAGCTATCCCAAACGAAGTTTAAACAATCGGTGATTACTTTTATAAATACACAAGTTATAATGATAAAAAAATATTACAAATGCACTGTTTTTACTTTACTCTGGATATATCTAAACAAACAAGGGAAACATTTCTCCTGCGTTTACTTTGCAGACAAACAAACAGCCTCAAAGTATTTGAAATGCACTACATTTACTATACACTGCATTTACTTTACATTGTATTTACTTTGCAGGCAACCAAACAGCCCCTAAAGACATTTTGTTTTCTTACTAAGAAAAAAGATCTACCAAATTAAAACTAGTGAGGCTTGCTCAATAAATTTGAGGAAGTGTTGGCACTACACTATTAGGGTTTGATATACATAGACTTAAATAGAATAGTGATATTCGCATTTTGCAAATACAGGGCTAAAATGCATAATCAATTTAAGGATTAATAAGATAAAAATGTTGTTTTTAAGTATTACCCAATATTTGTAGCTCTTATAGCAAAATAACATTTATTTTTACACTATTACGTTACTATTATTTATTTCACTAAAGCTGTTGTGAGAAATTAGGAATGAACTAAGATACTATTCACCAAAAGTATTGTATTAGACATTAAACATGACTTAAAATATTAAGGAAAATCATAATTATTGTCCTAATATGAATGTTGC